AAAAAGAGCATCTGATGACTCCCCAGGGGGGTCTGGGCGGGAGCCAGACAGGCGAGAGCCGGGCTCGTTTTAAGCAAACAGTCACACACTTCGTGCTCTTCGACTTCCCAGAACTCCATTCCCGGGCCACATTTTGGCGCCCGGAGCCAACTGTAGGCCACTTCGTGCTCTTCGACTTCCCAGAACTCCATTCCCGGGCCACATTTTGGCGCCCGGAGCCAACTGTACGCCACTTCGTGCTCTTCGACTTCCCAGAACTCCATTCCCGGGCCACATTTTGGATGCCCGGAGCCAACTGTACGCCACTTCGTGCTTTTCCACTTCCCAGACTTCCAAGACTCCTCATCTTCATAATCATCATCGCCCCCGTAGCCTTCTTGGCGACAGCCCTGCTTTCGAAGATTTCCTTTCAAAGCAGAGTCAGGATGCGAGAGCCAGGCTGCCATGCTCGCGGCACACCTCTCTGAGATACGTCCTTGCCCCTTCTACAGCACGCGCGTGGAGCATCCCCCGGCGAGTGGCGGAGGTGACGCCTCTCAGCTTGCCCGGAACTGCCACTTGGCAGTGGCTCTTGTTCGCGCCGCGCAGAAGTCGCGGTGCGTGTCCACTGCGAGTGGCTTCCTCGTGTCTACACCAGGTGTGGCGGACGCCTCTGACGATGAGAATTCACACGCGGTGACCATTCACGGCTACTGCTCCGTAGACAACTTGCTCTCCTTCAAAATGGACCCGCCCAACAGAGCAAAGCACAGAGTCTGCCTGTTGCTCTTTACAGGCTGTTCAAAAGATGCTATCACGGTGCGCAACGTAACCCGCATCGACGAGGGCGCAGTGACAGAGGCGCAGTACTTCATCAAGAAATTGAGGACACTGGGGATGCGCACAGAGCTCCAGCAATCTGGTGAGCACACGCGGATGAATGCGTGGAGTAAGACACCCGACTCAGCCAAGAAGTGCAGAATCCTCGAAGGCCACCCGTCAGGAGAAAGCTTAACATAAGGTGCTGCTGTCTTGCCAGCGATGCTTCTCAGCTTGCTGCACCTCGCGTGCCTCAGGCTTGCTCGCTGCTTGCTCGGCGGGTTCGGATTCGCCTTGCAGTCAGCCAGCGATGTTTGCCTCAAGTCTCTCGCTTCACAGCCCCCGCTGACTCGCATTCGCCTGCGGTGCTGCTCAGCCCTCAGTTGCTGTTGTAACTGCTTGTGCGGGATTGCTCACTTGGGCCCGCAGCGCTTCTCAGCCTGCCATTGCTCTTGTGAGTACCACCACAAAGTTTTGGTTTCAGCGCAAGAATAACGTGCTACAGTGGGTGCGGGAGTGAGTGCCGAAGGTGCTGCCGCGGCTGTCGACGAGCCCCCGCGGCGGCTGCGCTCGCCGCCGCAACTGACTCACTTTTTGCCTGCGGTGCTTCTCACCCCGCAATTGCTTTTCTAGACGCGTCGATGCTGCGGCGGTCGGCAGCGTCTCGTTTGCAAACGTGTCCCATTGATAGCAGTGTCCCGTTCCGCACTAAATCCATTGATCGCAGTGTCTCGTTTGGACCAACATCCGTTGATATCAGTGTCTCGTTTGAACCTACATCCATTTATAGAAGCGTCTCGTTTGAAGAAACAGAATCCAGTGAAAACCATGCATCGTTTGGGGCTGTCTCCATTGATGGCCGTGTCTCATTTGGATATAAATCCATTGGTAGCAGGGTCTCGTTTGGAGATACACTTGTCGAAAGCAGTGAGTCCTTCGAATCTACATCCATTGACAGCAGTGTCTCATTCAGAGACAAATCCATTAGTGATAGCAGTGCATCTTTCCAGACTAAATCCATGGCGAGCAGTCTCTCGTTTACGCATACGCTAGTGTATAGCAATGTGTACTTGGTACTACTACTGTTTCTGCGACTTCTACTACTACTTCTGCTGCTACCATTACTACTGATCGTCCTACCACTCCAGCTCGTACTACTAGTACCACTGGTGGGCCTACTACTACTACCATTACCTCTGCCCTTCAGAGTGCTACTGATGTTGCTGCTGCTGCTGCTGCTCCTGTAGCTACTGCTGTTGCAGCTACTGCCATTGCAACTACTACTCCGGCTGGGGGTACTACCGTTGCCACCACTGAGGACACTTTTATCTCTCCAGTATTGATTTACAAATCAACATGCGACAAGATCCGTAGCCACTTGTTTGCTCGAGATCCACCTGTGCGCCCAGCCGCGGCGGTGCTCCTCAGCCCGCTCTCTCGCAATGCCAGGACGCGACAGGGCGGCGTCGCCCCCGCCACCCCCGCCGCCATCTGATGTCCCGGAGGAGTCTCTGCCGCTTCCGCCCGGACTGCCTGCTGAACCAGATTTCGACGTGGTTTTTGAACGAGCTCACCTCGAAGAGGTCCCCCGTGCACCAGGCGTGGGTGGCAAGACCACCTGCCAATGGCAGCGCGCGCTGCGCACGCAGTGCATTGCCAACGACGTGTCGTTCAGAGACGTAACAAACGACCCGTTCTACGACTGGAAGCAACTGCTTCGGTCTGCCGCTCCGGGTCTCGCTGACCGGGTAATCGGCCAGGGCATCGCCCGGGTTCTCTTTCGCATCATCAAGACAGAGCGCGACCCAAACTACTCCAACACGGATGGCCACGGCAGGCATTTCTTTGAGTTCGTTCGCACAGACGGCTCAGCCATGCGCCTGCGTTACCACAAGAACGGCCGACCCGATGAGCCCACCTATGTCGGTCCACCGCGCGCCGTTGCTCAGCCTGCGGTGCCTGGGCCTGCCGCTACTCAGCCTGATGTACCTGGTGGCAGCGCTGCTCAGCCTGCCATGCCTAGCGGTGGCGCTGCTCAGCCTGCCGTGCCTGGCGGTGATGCCCCACTGCTCTTCGCACTGGAGCACCTGCAAGAGGCCGCCCGCTCGCGCCAGATTGTGGGCCGCGACGAAGCGAGCGCCGCTCTCCAAACGCTGCTGCGCTAACACCATGGCGAGACTGCCCCAGGTGCTGTTGACAACACCGATGGCTCAGCGTTTGGCTGGCTTCGATGGGTGGCACAGATCGAGGGCGCGCGCGACGTCATCCGGAATGGCGTCCACAGGGTCTACGTTGTCCGCTGGAATCCGCACTGGGCCCCAGAGGCCGTCTTCTGCTACGGCAACAACACGTGCAGCACACTGGTGCCTCGCAACGCGCGATACAATGGCTCATGGAGCCACGCGCGCATTGTGATTCACCGACAGGCCAATCCGAGCCGTTGCTCTCTGCGGCCCCTGTGGCAGCTACGCCGTGGCTGTTGTTGCGGGATCAGGTGACCTGGGAGTGATCTCTGGCAAACAGAACGTGGTGCTTCTCAGCCTGCATGCATGTGACACGAAAAGCCGTGGCATGCACTCGCGTAGTGCTTCTCACCCTGCACTCGCGCGGCGCTTCTCAGCCTGCGCCTCCTCGGTACTTGCCAGCCGCCAGATTGGCGCGATTTCCTGCACTACAAGCGGGAGAGGTGAAGTATCCGAGCCCGCGTGTCCACGGTGCTTCTCGGCGCGCGTACTTGTAATCCTAGTTCCAGCAGTCGTAGGGCTGCGCGGCCGCGGTGCTTCTCAGCCTCCGGGTTTCTGCGGTGCTTCTCAGCCTGCAAGTTTTGCCGACTGTCCGCTTCACACGCCGCTCCTCCGTGCGCTCCTCCTCCGTTTGCGAGATGTCTTCCAAGATTTGGTTGGAGGCCGAGAAAGACGGACAGAACAAATCCAAGCAGCGCGGTCATCATCCCATCATCCTCCTCAATCATCACATCATCATCAATGGTTTCGCCGAGCACCCCGGTGGAGACTCAGGTCTTACGGGTCCGTGCCCATACTACTACTACTACTACTACTACTACTACTACTACTGCTACTACTACTACTACTACTACTACTACTACTACTACTACTACTACTACTACTACTACTACTACTACTACTACTACTACTACTACTACTACGACATCACACTAAATCCATTCATGGGAGTGCCTGTTTTGGAGCTACACTCATTGATGCAAGTGTGTCGTTTGAGGCTCAACCCGTTGATAGCAGTGTCTCGTTTGGAATCACATCCGTTGATAGCAGTGTCTTGTTTAGACCTCAATGCATTTATACAAAGATCTCATTTGGAGATACCGTTATCGAAAGCAGTGTTTCTACTGCTACTACCACTGCTCCCATCACTCCTACTCGTTCACTCCACACACTACAACTACTACTTCACTGTTACCACTACTACCATCACTACTATTTCTACTGCTACTACTACTGTTACTATTACTGCTGCTGCTGCTGCTGTTGCTGCTGCTAGTGTAGTTGTTGCTACTGCAACTACTGGCAGTGCCACTGCGACTGCCGCTGATGTTGCCACTGCGACTGCCACTGCGAATCCGAATGCGACTGCGAGAACACCAGAATTCTACAACAGCACTCTTACATGAATACCACAGGCAATGTTCCCAGCTATGCTTCTACACATCGCTGTTAGGTTGCTTTGCCAGGATCATATACGATGTGTGGCTTGTAAGTACACAGCTCAGCAGCAATCACACTTAGCCGAAGAGTGTCCCAAACCCGTTGCATGTAGTCGCAGCGATTAGCTCGATCGGATTACGTTGGAAATCTTGCCTAAAGCCTGCAGTAAAGCCGAGCCGGCCAAGACGCAGCATAACTCTCAGATGAAAGCTTGAATTTCTCAACCTAGTCGGCATATCCAGAACTCCAGAACTATTCCTCCTCCTCCTCTTCCTCCTCCTCCTCCCCTGCATTCCTCCTTCCCCTCTGCCATTTCCTCCTCCTCCTCCTCCTCCTCCTCCTGCTCCTCCTCCTGCTGCTCCAGCTGCTCCTGCTGCTGCTCCAGCTGCTCCTGCTGCTGCTGCTGATGCTGCTGCTGTTGCTCCTCCTCCTCCTCCTCCTCCTCCTCCTCCTCCCGCCCTCGCTCGTTGAGGGCAAACGCGATCGCCGCAGAGAGATTTCCGCTGCCCCAGGGGCGTCCAACATCGGCCCCAACGAAGCGTCGTAGAAGGCCACCAGCTCTTGGCGCATCCGTTGAGGAGGGCACAACGACACGTTGACCTGCACTCTCCCCCTCACGAGTAGGAGTCGGGATGGACACGGGCGAAAGGGGAAGTAGGACATGCGCTGAGGAAACTCGAGGAGACGGACAAGGAGGCGGACGAGGAGGCTGACTGCAGAGGAGGAGGATGAGGAGGAAGAGGGAGGCGGAGGAACACAATGAGGACGAAGACGGGGAGGCGAAAGGGGAGGAGGAGGACGAGGAGGAGGAGGAGGAGGAGGAGGGAAACACGGAGGAGGTGGGAAAGGAAAGGAGGGAAGGAAGCGGTGGGTGGAGGAGAAGGAGAAGCAGAAGGAGGAGAAAGAAGAGGAGGAGGAGGAAGAGGAGGAGGAAGAGGAGGAGGAGGAGGAGGAAGAGGAGGAGGAGGGGAGGAACAGCAGGGGGGGAGGAG